TCATGGATAATCCAAAAACGTAGAGAACGTTCGAGAAACGCAACGCATGAAAGCAATTTTACTACGTAACACTCAACAAAGACAAAATGTCTTTGTGCAGCATTTTGTAACTTTAAATTCATCATAAAACAGTTCGAAAGGAGGGCTCACTCGCGAAATGTTTTTCAAAACTCGAAGAGAAATTTCGTGTCTCTGCGCGGCCACGAAATATCCTCTATTTATTCCTCGAGTAACTAAAGACTAAACTCGAAGTGATCTCAAGATATCACGAAGTATTCCGGTCTCATTTCGTGAAATAGTTGAAACAAGCCGAAAAGTCACGAACTTGCACGCCCAATCTTGTCCCGAAACTAGTACATCATTTCATAACTATTCTTCATATCCCAAATTACCTTGGGTCGCAGAAGAGCAATCGGCTAATCCCTCAACTTAGAGTCTCCTCTGATCTGACGGGTCACACAGGTGAGTCGGTTCAAACCCCGGAAAAGCCAAAATAATAATTCTTTCTTCCTCGAAAAAGTTAAAGAATAAATCAAAGAAATCGAAGTGATCTCGAGATATCTCGAACTAATTCGGCTCTCACTTCGTCAAATAGCCGAATAGAACCGAAAACCTACAGACTTTGCTTGCCCAATCTTGTCAAAAAATTGCAACTTTGATACATTCCTGAGCGTCGCGAATCCTTTACTTCGCGCTCCGCCGAAGTAATAATGATGATTTTATTATATTTTGAATTTACCCAGACTTAATTTGTGACAATCTGTCCAACTGTAATGCTCAATATTGGAGATAGCTCAATAAGGTGTTTAGAGAGGAATACTGATGTACACCAACAAATCCAAACTTTAATAGTGAAAACAGATCATCTGGCCTTGAAACTGGGCAGCAAAAATTAAATGCCATAGCAGATGATGAATTACACAACTTGATATTAAACTGAAGTAGAAAACCGATAATATTAGTCTCAAAATGATGTCAGTGCTATCATCTGAGTTGTGATGCCATTTTCTTACCAAGTCACGAAATTTTAATACAGGTCACGGAGGTGGAACTATATTCAATACAGATATTTGTTCGCGGGAGAAAAAATTGAACAAAACAGAAAACGAACGTGAGAAAAAATAACTTGTTCCTTCGCTATTGCTTACAGCAAATGAATGCCACGAGATAATGGCTAACTTTCCCTGGATAATCTCTCTGACGGTAATGTCCGCCATCTTGTTTTGTCTCTTTGGTAGTACCCAGACCCTTGCATCACAGCTAGATCGCTCGACCCCTCTCGTTTCAACGCCCTAGCTTATTACGCCCTGGTTGTTTACCAAATTACAACGCGTTTTCGTTTCCTTGGGTTGCCATCTATTCTAAGACTTTTAAGCTCCTTTCGGGATCCTTCTGAACTTTTCCAAAAGAGCACTGTTTTCTATAATTCTGCGGCAAATGAGAGTTTTTGTCATACGAGAAGACTTCCCCATTTTCATTAAAAAGGTCTTCAAAATATTGCTTCTGCGGCAAATCGCAACATGACGCCGTAACTATGCTTTGAAACGCGCGCTATGTCGGATTGCCGTTGCTACGGGCAACATTCACATGAAAACGAGTCAAGAATAGAAATAAGACGCGAACCATTTATAGATGGTTTTCACAGGGACGTCATCAAATTGTAATGTCAAAATAGCGAGGTTTTACGAATTCTTATTTACACTAGGTTGAAGATAAACAAAAAGTAATACTTTGTACAAGTTTTCATTCCCGTAGCAAGTTTCATTTCCAAAATACAGCAATTGGAACTTCCAAGTTTTCACAGTGCGTGACACCAAAATGGGAATGCTGTCTCGTTAAAAAAGTCTCTCCTCTTGATTTTCAGCATTATAACCGTTTCAAGTATTAGAAGATATGTTTATGCGCGAGTATGCTAGTTCTCGAGTGAAAAGAAAGAGCTTTTATAGAAAAAGTGGACTTCAGATGTTTTCGATGATTTCCGCCGGCCATATTGGTGCACCAAAACGGTGCAGCAATATGGCGTCTCCTCACAAAGCTCTACAAAATTGCGTGAAACGTTTCGGCAAATACCTCATTAACTGTTGGCCACAAAGACCTGAGACTTGGATAAATCGTTTATATACTAGTCTTTTATAACATTTCATTTTCTTGGCTTCTTCCACTGGACGGTTTCCAATTTATTTTTTTGTTGCGTGACGGTGAAAACGATCTATACGAGCTGTTTTCGTCTTAGATAAGACACGTTCGTATAAATGGTAGAGTTCGCGTCTTATTTTTCCTCGTATAAATGGCCCTAATATTCGGTTGTGATTGCCAAAACATTCACGCGTCACAAACTCCTCTGTTATTCGAGCAATAGACCTTGTCACGGTTTTCGACGCCATCTTGACGAGTAGGCAAACCCGTGAGAAATTACAGTGTTTGTATGAGAGTCTAATGTCTAATAATTTCCGTAAAACGGCTGTTTTAAAAAATATATGAACTGTAAACTAAAGCTTCACTCTTAAAGATTCTTCTGAAAAAATTTGAGGGCGTTACATGCGCTAGAAGACCTAGAACCTTTTTTAAAATTTCATATACATTTGTCTGTAAAAATTTCCCGCGAAAAATTGCAGACAAATATATGGAAAATCTAAAGCAAGCTTCTGGAGAAATTTAAGCACAGTAAAGGCCCCCAAAATTTGTTGGTAAAATCCTTTGCTGTGTAGCTTTAGTTTACAGTTCATATTTTTTCCAGAATAGCCGTTTTACGGAAATTATTCGACATTAGATTCTCATACAAAAACTGTAATTTCTCACGGGTTTGCCTACTCGTCAAGATGGCGTCGAAAACCGTGACAAGGTCTATTTATATTGTATTTGGGCTAATTTAAAATTAATATCCTATTTATCAGCTTTTTTCTAGCATATCACAGCACCTTGACCGTAAACGTCTGACAAATTCCTCTATCTAACACGTTATAAAAAACACGCACTTGCTATGTAATTATATACGTCCATGATCGTGTTCTCTGTCGCGTTGTAAATATTTGAACTTCATTCCACCGAAACTGACTATTTTCCTTCTTTGCTCATTTGCTATAACGTTAGTTCCTTGCCGTAGAAAGGCAAATGTTTCCTTGTACTGCATAGAACTCAAGCAAAATTCCCTATTGAACCAGAAACAAACTTGTCTGCACCTCCCTTTCAGACATCGTTGTGAAGCAAAAGGAGTCATTGTTTATAACTGTGCCCCTGATTGGTTTCGCGAGAAAAATAGCCAGCCCAGTATGGCGATCATGACCGTATATAGGGCAGTATTTTGTGTTTTACCGCTAGAAAACTTACTTACAGTCCTTTGCAAGATGGCGACTAAGTCAAACACGAATTTCAGTTGCATTTCAATTCGAGTGCTTGTAAATCAACATAAATTGCGGTTTTTTCGCAAAAAAAACTCTTAATTCAAGCTTGTCGCTGGTATTGTTAAACAGTTTTCTCCTCAAGGATTCACTCAAATGCCACAAAACTTGGCAGACCTTATCTAAACAAGGTGACGAAATTTTGCAGCACAGTGCGCCATAGTCCGCTTTGTAATTTGGAAGTGACGAGGTATTGCATTCACACCAAGTACCATTTTTTTCTTTTTCCCCTTAAATTGTCCAAATTCAATATTTTTGGCGCACTGCGCTGTAAATCTTTCTTTTATGGTTTAGTTTACGTGTCTTTTCATTTTGAAAATATTGAATCCTTTTGAGGCAATTTTATCCAAAATGCCTATTTTGACCACACCCTAATTTTTTATAAATTCCACAAATTCCTTAATAGTTATCCGAAAGAAGATGCAACATTTCAAAACCCCATACACGTATTACTTGCATCCAAAAATTTCACTTACTTTTTATTAATACCGTAAAATTTAGAAAATAGGCCCCTCCAAATATAAGCACCCCAAACTCGTTACGCAAGAAACCCTCCGTTAAATCGCCCCTCCAAATATAAGCCCCCCGGGGGCTTGTACTTGGAAATTGCCCTCAAATACAAAGTAAAACAAAGCAAAAACGCTAAATTTCCTTCCAACTATAAGGTTAACCCAATCGATTTTGAAACGCGAATTTCCCTCCATAGATAAGCCCCTCCAAAAATAAGCCCCTCAAAAAAGGCCTTTGAAAAATATGTCCCGGGGCTTATTTTTGGAATTTTACGGTATTTTCACACGACTAAAATTTACAAAAAATGCCCAAATAAGCCTTAATGGTACCACCTTAATGGTCCCATATTATTACATTAGTGGCACGTAAAACTAAATCCTACTAATTTGCCAAGTGCTGAGCTTTGTTGAATGACGCAACAGACTTCGTGCAGGTTAAGCTTTATAATGTTTGATTTTTATTATCACTGGGCAACTGGTCCGTGATGAAAAAAAAAATGTCTAGAATGACGAATACAGCCAACCAGTCGCAGCGGCATATCGATAACCAAAACATAAAGGCACGTCTTCTGTGGGGAAAGGGGGTTCCACAAAAGCTAAGGCTGCACATGAATGAAATAAAAGAAAGTCAAAACAGAGCAAAAACTGAGGACACTTGCTTAGATTAATGATATGACTGACGAAGCACAAACCTTCATACTTTTGAAGAATGTTAACCAAAGCGTTTTGTTCCATGTCTTTAAAGTGTTCGCGCAATTTGACAATAGTCAAATCTTTGAGACCATCCGTAGTACTCATGTAGAAGAACAGCTCTGCTGTGGGGCCTTGTCCAGGTAGACCAAACTGCGCCGATATTTCAGGTTTGATTCTAAGCTGTGACGCCAGCGATCGCCAACCATTTTCTCCGGTGTCAAGCATGGATGATAGCATCGCTATAAACTTCCCATTATCTGATACCAGGCCACTCACCCTCTTGTTATCGTCATATTTTGCTGCAAAAAGAGTACAGTTTTCAGGCCACATTTTATTGACGAACCACCTGTTGATCATTCAGACTGCATGGTAAGATTAAAGACTATTTTCTTTTCACACAAAATCCAATTTCAACTGCAGGACCTGGCCCCAGTTGTTCAAAAGGAGGATAGCGCTGTGCTATCCTCTGGATAGATCTCTATCCAGTGGATAACTTACTTGGTTTCCAAGATGCTGATTTATCCTTTGGGTAGTGATTTATCTAGCCTGCGTAGCAGCCGCTTGGAAGTAGTGGGCGAAAGAGAGAACGGGCGCGCCCGTTTTTTCTCCAAGCGCCTGCTACGCAAGCTATGATTTATCAGATAGATGGCACTATCCAGCGTTTGAACAACTGGGGCCAGAACGTTTAGGTCACCATCTAAGCAACACCAGTACAAACGGCCCTTTTTTAGTCATCACTGTATATTATATGAAGAGGTCAAATACCATTTAAGAAGATCATCCTGGCGGGGGGAAAAATTCATTAAGGTTTCTGGTTATGGATACCATCTTCAAAACGTCAGATCTGCTGGTGGACGTTTTATAAATGTGATTTTCAAGTGGAGGATCCACAGAGAAGTTTACCGGAAACCCCTACCTCCAACCAAAAAGAAACTAGAAATTGTCTCGCAAACCCTCGCGAAACTCGGTGTGGCAAAAAAAAGCCTTGCTGGGCGCGGTTAGACACTAGATTGGTGACAAGCCGGGAAAACTTCTTCTTCTTTCTCTCTTTTTTCCTATTTTTTGCTGCTTTATTGTCCTATTTGATTTTTAAGTGAGCATTGCAAAGCAAGTTTTAAAGCATTTCGGTCGCCGATTGAAAAAACAAAACAAAAACAAAATATACTGCAAGTTTGCCCTTTACTTGGAATCAACGGCTGATCATTAGAGACCTTTACATTCGAGTCCAATTGCGAGTACGAGATTTTAAGCGCTTACCATTTGTCTGGAAATTTCGGTGAAAAATTTCTATCAAATGGGACTGAGTTGTACCACTTACAAAATACCAGTAAAATTTTCGCTCTCTCTCGACATGAAGCCTAGCACTAGTAATTCAACCAAATGGTACAGAAAAATTCGGTCGTTTCGGGAAGAAACGGGAAAACGGTAATATCTCAAAAGGTATTACTTTCTTCTTGAAAATTTGCACCGGGATGAACCGTTCGTCCGTTACATTTTAATTCTCCCCGGAATTTCCGGGTTTTCCATTAAGTAGTGCGCGCGCGTTAGCCAACGTCATTTTGGCGGGAAAACGTGAAAGCTGTCGTCATTCTACTACGAAACTACGAGTTATAGTGAGAATCTCGTAATGGTGGAAACGAGTTATCAAAAGTTAGAAGTTTTATCATTTTGCGATCAAGAGAGGGCTTAAAGGCCCATTGCCAACCTTGATGCAACGCGGTCGTTTGTTTTCGTTTTGAAATCACGCTTTTGTAAATGACTAACTCTGATTGGTCAACACTTTTGCCAGGCTTTCTCACAAACAAGTATATTTTTAACATGTAAGCCAACGTGAAGATGCAAGGAACCGCTTTTATTTTTCAGATCCATGCCGTGGCAGTAGCTTTCATTTTTTTTCTTGGAAAATAGATGGCAGTATTTAGAACAGACAAAGTTTATCGACAACGAGAGTGTATTCCTACGGCTTCCAAATTAAAACCGTTTGATATTTTCTTACGAAAAGGTCAAAACATAAGTTAACTTTCTCGGGAAATTTTTTGAACATTATAACTTAGTTTTGAATAAAACTTGCCACGATAATCGAATGTTATGAAGCAAAGTATGCAATCCAGCAGGAAATGTACCGTGAAAATTCATAAGATGATGGTAAACGACGCTTAGAGGAATTATTTAAGTTACATGATTTTTTTGACGCCTTCGTCGCAAACGGCTCGGGTGAAAGTGATTTGAAATAGTAGGGCGGCTGGCAATTGTTTACGGATAGCTCGAGCCGTCCGAACGGACGACAATTTTTTCCATCGGATAACACGTAGTGTTCGAACGAACGACAATTTTTCTCGAACGGATTAGCCTGAGTCGTTCGAAGGGATGCGTTCGAACGGACGACAATTTTTCTCCAATGAATAGCCAGAGTCGTTCGAAGGGATGACATTTCTTTTTCGAACGGATAGCCAGAGCCGTTCAAACAGATGACAATTTTTTTCCAAAGGGATTTGTGTTTGCGGCGCGCAAAGCATCAAGGTTGACAATGGGCCTACTTAACCTCCTTCAAAATAGAAAACAGTGAAGTTATGAATATATGAAAATCATATATGTGAACTGCGGAGTGAAGAATTAAATAAAGGAAGATCATCGCAGTAATATATGCAACTTTTGCAGTTGCGAAAAGAAAGCCCTAAAAAAAATTCAGGCTTGTACGGGATTCGAACCCTTGACCTCTGCGATACCGGTGCAGCGCTCTACCAATTAAGCTAATAAGCCAACTGGGAACAGGTCGTTGAATTGGTTCGTTATAAACCTGTGAAAGGATGATGATGAGGTTATGAATATATGACAATCATATATGTGAACAGCGGAGTGAAGAATTAAATGAAGGATGATCATCGCAGTTATGTTCGCAACTTTTGCGCGCTCCAAAGCGCTGCACCGGTATCGCAGAGGTCAAGGGTTCGAATCCCGTACAAGCCTGAATTTTTTTCAGGCTTTCTTTTCGCAACCGCAAAAGGTACGTATATAACTGCGATGATCATCCTTCATTTAATAGATAACAGTTTTAACTTTTCTAACAAGAAAAAGTACATTGAAGCTTCCCGGGAAATCTAATTTTTGAGAATACGCGAAAAGACTTTAAGTTTAATCTCGTACTCGTAGTCGCTCTCGTCCTCGAATCTAAAGGTCTCTAATGTACAGAGCTGAAACCAGTCTTTTGATCCATCGGCTGGGAAAGCGGCAAGGAGTTTAAGGTGGCTCAATACAGTTTTTCAGGGTCAATACCTCCCAAGTTTGAGCATACACTATACGTCGCCATAAACAAAGATTTGGAAAAAATTCATCACGGTTGTATTAGATAAAGATGAAAATTGTGGGTGGGTACAGTAAGCTCAAAATGGACTGACAGCGGATGCCAGTGGCGCCTTTGTAAGCTGACGTCCGAGCTTACTGTTCATATGTTAATATGTGTTGTGAAATGTTAGAATGCATATAATTGTATTCTCTTATTTTATGAAATTTTCAGTACAGTAGTTGATTAAGTAAGCCATTATTTCGCTACCGCTAAAAGAGATATTTAGATTGTAACAGGGAATATCGTGGGATAAGATAATTACAATTAGTGCTCACGAATCGATGTTAAACGTGAGCAAAGAACTTAGATCCCATTTGATTATTGTGACCACGCCAGAATTACGCATCTGGTGTGTGGACTTCCTTAGTTAATGTACGCAGCATTTTTGTAAAATTTAGTTAGACTGAGATCGATCGTAGAACAGAACATGTAATGTTGAATTGTGAAGTCAGATTTGCAAGAAAGTATACAGTCCTCGATTGTTGAACCAGCGTGTGCGGAATCTCTCTCTATCGCAAGTGGGAAATTCTGCGAAAATATGTATTGCAAAGAGGGCACGTCTGTTGTCCTCTCATCCATGACTCCTTTAATAAACCTTTTGTCGCACATGGAGGTTCGACTGTATTTTAAAATTGTGATCTATCAAAAATTGAAATTTATCAAAAGAATGACTTGTTTGATCCCGAGATGATCCCAAGACCTTTATTTTGCTTCAAAGATACAAAAAATCCAAGTTTATTAATATCTAACTCTTTGAAAGAAAAGAAATTAATTTTTAACTTTTTTTGTTAAACGTGGGTCTCCGCGGATGAGCGATACTTAATCCCGTTGAAACTTAATGTCTCTGACTACTTGGTGAGCATTTCAAGTAATCACAACGTGTAGCACAAAGCAACAAGGTGTCGCCATGTTCGCCTTACCATTTCATCATTTACTAAACTTATAAAGAAAGATACTATCCACTGAGAAAGACGCAATAATCGTATGTCGTGGGCGTGAAAGAAATAACAAATCCGAGTTCCCAACAGGATCCGAACCTATGACCTCACAGACATGGGTCGTATGTGAAAAGCGCCCTGTATACTGATTACGATTAGATGTTGTCACGAAGCTCTTTGAAACCTTTGATTTCATTCGTTGGGATTAGTAACATCAAGGGCTAAATACTATTTGGTGTAAAATAATGAAAGATGGTAAATTTTAAGCAATCACTTATAGTTTTGCCTAATCTCAGTCTCTTTATTTATTATCAAATTAGTCGCTATGGTTTGAGTACGATACGTTTTGTTTGTCGTTTGTCTTGGGAAAATCAGTTTGTTTCTGAGCGCCACTGGAAAATTCCACAGACATGGATGCCCACGATCCGTCAAAACAGTAAACGATCTGTAACACAACGAACCGCTAAGGTAACACACAACAGGTAACAAAAAAAGAACTGCACTAGTTTGCATACCTTCATTTAAACTTTGTATGACATCGTTGCGGTAGATATCTTTCAATTCTCTCTTCAAATCTTTAACTTTCAAATCAGGTTTCCAGACATCAGCAAGATAGTTAAACATATCCTCAGTCGGGCTGTGTTCAGTGTATCTATCAAACTTTCTTCTCTCTCCAACAGGTACGTCCAAAACAAAAGCCAAGTGCTTCCAACATCGGATGTGCCGCTTTTCACGGTCCAGTTTCTTTGAAAGCTTTTCCAAAAGAATTTCGTCATTAGTCACTGCCTTTGAAATTAATTGATCAGCAACTGGCGGGGAGAGAAACAAGAATGATATCTTATTATAGAGCATGGATAGCGCTCTTCGTATAGAAATCACGTAGCCAAAAAGTCCGCAAATACAGACTCTTGGGGTAATTGGGAGGGGGGGGGGGGGGGGGGAACCAACAAATATAGCAAAATTTTTGGAAAAATCTCCCCGAAAAAAAATTAGCAATCTTCACTTAAAATTAGCTGATACTTTTTTTTATTTCCCTTTTTAAAGAATTGGTGGTTTTTTTTTTTAAAAAAATGTCTATATCGCCTATTTCAGTTGTTGGTTTTTTTGTTTTGACAGTGCTGATATAAATGAAATCTTAGTCGCTCCGTTTGAGAGATCATCCTGAAACTTAGGGGGGTTGAGGCATTGTGGAAGGGTGGAATGGAGAAGGGCAGCGGTTAGCGGGAAACAACTAATATAGACAAATCTGTTGAACAATCTCACCGAAAAATAATTAGTCATCGTCACTTAAAACTAGCTGATACTTTGTTTTAGTTGCCCTTTTAAAGTACTGGTAGTTTTTTTCTTTAAAACAACATTCAGTTTCTTAAACTGTCATACTAACCTAAAAGTTCCAAAACCTCCTGGGAATTAGGGACCTTCTCAGCATTCATTTGGAGTTTAAGTTTATCTGTTAAAAAATATAGGCAAATTACATATGAAGCCTGACATATTTCTACAATCAGCAACAAAATTAGTTAAGACACTTTGCTCAAAGGCACCTTTCTGATGTTTTGGCGACTTCAAAAAGCGAAAATGCAGCAGCTTCCCCTTTTCCTCCCTCCCTTCACCACCCAGTCTCAACAATGCTGTGCAGCTGTTTAGGCTACAACAGAGGTCAAAAGTGTTGGGGACTTTCCAGTGATTTTATTAAAACTAGTGAACTCCCCCTTCCTCACCAAACAATGTTGAATTTTGAGCGAAATGGGTGGAAATGAGCCCATTTTGGGGGCACAACATTGCTGGGAGAGGGGAGTGTGGGATGAGGGGATGAAGCCAAAGCCGATCAAAACACTGATTGTAATGGAGCAGAGTCCTATGTAACTAGTACTTGTATAGCCGGGTTTTCCCATCGTGTCCTAAGTTCTTTTGACCTCCATTATCAGTACCTACAGAAAACAACAAACACCCCAACTTTGAGTAGAGGGGTAGGGAAAAGGGTGCAGATTGTTTACTTCTCCGAAGTTACAAGTGCCCCATTTTTGGACATTGTCTTGACAATGTTTCGCGGATTGTAGGCTAGCTGTAACGAGTGGCTCTACACAAAGACAATAAAAAGCAAAAGACAAGGCATGGAACTATGAACCAGATACATACAGTTAAAACTTCTGTAATAAGGACACCAAAGTGACAGAGCAAAAATCTCCGTATTAGAGAGGTCACCACGATGACATCACTATTATATGAATATTAAGGTTCTGTAAGTAACAACTCTCATTGCTCTCGAAAAAAACATCCTATTTGTTTAGGAATCGCTTATTTGAGCGGCATCTTAATTTAAGAAAGTTGTTATTTTCATGGTTCCAAATGCCTTCACTTTAAAGACAGAAATTCAAAACAGTGCGAGCAGCTGAAAGGCAACAAAAAAACTGAATTTCATTGTAATCAATCTTTAATGAAAAGCCGTACTTCGAAATAATTGATACTCGGTTGTCTTCGCTTTAGGACTCTACTTTCGTTTTCAACAAAGTTTACGTTAGAAATAACCTGAGCAAGTGAAGAATTAACAAGCCTTTTGTCCCTGGCAACCTCGATGAAAGAAACTTAAATTATTTCTGCAGACACTCAGCACTTCTAATGCACTTCTGCTAAACACGGTGGCATTTGTGATTACTGCCAAAAAACTGAGTAGCCAGGCAAGAATATCGAGATCAAAACATGTCCAAACTGCGATGTGAACAAACGAAAATAAGCCATGAAATGGAAGATAACGCAAAAAGTTAACGTTAAATTAAAACTGTTCTGTAAAACGGTCGCCTGGGGGAAAAGGAGGCCATTAAAACACCAAATCAGTAAATGAATTTCAAGAATTTCAAACGCAAAAATCAATTAAAGCCATTTCACCCTTAACAAGATTACAAGGATCACCTTCAGTGGTATCCGAATCAGCAGCTAGTAATCCTTGGTTATCGGTAGTATTGGCTGGTGTATCTCCAGAGCTTACTGTGGATTGAGGCCCATCAGTAGTGGCAGCAGCAACAGTATCAGTAGTCGTTGAAGGTTCCTTTCTATCGGTGGTGGAGGTAGCAGTAACAGTATCAGAAGTCGATGGCGTTTTTCCACAATCAGTGCTGGAAAGAGGAGTAGCAGCTGTAGCAAAAGAGTTAGTACCAATGGTAAGTTTTTCTTGTAAATATCTCTAACAGTAAGGACTGGATATACACCTTTAATACATTTCACACCGACCCTGATTAATGTAGAATTCCAAGAACAAAAATTTCAATTGTCGAAACTAACTTCACTTCATACACTTCTCAAAACAGCCATTTCAAAATGTGACTGCTCACGCAAATGACGCGCTCTGATTGGCCAGATCTCGTGGTCTATTGCCGAGAGATTTCCTGTCAGATTTCCAGTATTGCGCCAACGACCAAATACATTTCATTGTCCCAGACTTTCTCCTGGAGTCTGGCCGATCAACAACAAAGCAAAGGACTCTGGGTATGAGTTGCATAGCCTGTGATAAAGGAAGTGCAGAAAAGTGTCCAAAGCATACAACTGGCGTCATCCACGCAACCAAGTTATGTCTTAGCTAATTAGAAAACTTTTTCCAACAAAACCAACCAAAGACCCAATAAGGGAAGTTGCTCAAAAATGAGATTGAGGCACCTTTTTAACACCACATGAAAACGAAGGCATGTGAAGCTTTTATCTCTGAATGCAAATTTTTTAAAACTAATTAGCAGTTACATCTATTTTGTGGAACAAACCCTTTTATCGCTCCACGTCGCTAGGGTCAGTTCGCGTGAAAGATGTCGCTCTCGAGAAACGTTCCCAGCGATGGGGAGAGGTAAAAGGAGGCTGTATTCACACACAAACTTTGTAACTGACAAAGGCGGAAGAACTTAAGTTATATTATTTATAACCCGCTGATTAAATTAACTTCCGCAGGAAAGTAGTACGTTTGTTTACAAACGAATGTATTTCGTTGACAGGAATAGCCTGTACACAGGCGTTATTTTTGCCGAGGGCGGAGCGGAAGTCACAAGCCCAGCACAAAGGCGAGAGACATGCTGGAGGGCAGATCACTCCGTCTGTGCTTCGCACTGGACGAGATAGCCCTGTTATACTAAACACTGAACAACAAAATAGACTGCCTGAGGATCTGTCGAATAATTCCACCCCGCGATCAAGTCAACAAGGTATGGGGATTTGAAAAGATAGGAAATTGGGACTAGTTTCCCTCTTCTGGCCCCAGTTGTTCAAAAGCTGGATAGCGCTATCCATAGGAAAGATCACTATCCAGTGGATAAGTATTAGGGACACCAAGTGCGCTATTACCGACCTTAAGTTTAGGTGGACGGCTACATAGAGGACGGTGACTTTGGCCGCGACAGGTTGGGGAGGGACGACGTCGACCTGATTGGCGAAAGAAACAAGCTTTAACTTTCGGTAGAGGTGACGGTCAAAGACTTTTCTTAACTTTATTGAACGTTTGAGAATGAGTTCCCTGAAAGAGATCCGACAGCTTTTGGTCGACTTTTATAATTATGATGGTGTCATATCACATGAGAAATTCGTTCTCTTGTACGATGAAATCTAGTTGCGCGCTTAGTTGCTCGAAAGTGAATGTTCGTCGCTCCACTGAGCCTATTTGCGATCTACGTATTGCCAAATTTTCACACGCCTCACAGTTCTTACGGCTGGTAATCGAGCCTACACAGCTCTGGGCTTGAAACGGTAGGGCTCACTTACAAGAACTTCTTTAGCAAGCTGAATATCGTGATCTTCAGTCCACTCCATCTTCATTAAAATAAGAACAAATTACTAATTAAAATAGGATTGACAAGTTGCGCGCAAAAATAAACAAGTTCCTTTGTATAAAGGGCTTTATTTTGTCGAATGAATGTTAACCAATTAACACGTAATTTCATTTTGGCCCACAAATAAAGCAGAAAAAATGAACTTAAAACTTCGTGAATGAAAAAAAGGGTAAAAGTCGATGTTCAGATGGTGAGAGAATACTCAAATGTGATTATTTTATCGCTGGGAATTTTAATTTTCCAGTTGTACCACTTGCTGCTGTTATATTCAATCATAAAATAGTGTTTAAGTAAGTAATTGAAAAAGGTTTAACATTTGAAGTAAACTAGACACTCCAGAAACAGATTAAAGCGGTATTCTGTTAAAATAGAGATGTTTTGAAGACGAAAACACGAAGAAAAAACTCGCGTTCTCGAGACACCGCCGCACTCTGCTTTCTCACCGTCGCGACGTGCAGACGACGTAGGTTGGACGGCTGAGATATAGGCTAATTAGCCCCAAATCGGGCAACTTTTATTTCCGGTTGCCGTCCTCCACCTTACCGTCCACCCTAACTTAAGGTCCGTACTAACTGGAGAGAGATTTATATGGTGGATAGCGCTATCCACCTTTAGAACAACTGGGGACAGGTCTTATTTCATTCATTTTCATTCCATTGCTCTTTCGCGCTCCATTACAGCTACAATGATTGTTTCAAGATAGAAACCGACTGCAAAAGGTCAAAAACAGAGTTAGTACACACAATAGTCAAGTCAACTTAACTTGGTTGTAAACATGTAACAAATAAGATAGCGCTGCTCATTTCATTTCCTTCTCTCCTAGAAATGGCGTTGGGTCCATTAACTCTGTATAAAATAGTTCTAAAATTAATGTCTTTGGAACCGGTGGAATACGCCAGTGTGAGATATTACCAGGTGCTATTTGTTTTTTCAGCATCTTTACAAAACGAAATTAGAAATTTTGCCGAATTTCTACTTTGGCCACTTTTGAGAGTGAAAAGATTAAGACGGTCATAGTCTCTTTAAGGGTATTATTGATCGTTTTCACTGTCACGCAACAAAACAATAAATTGGAAACCGTCCAGTGAAAGAAGCCAAGACAATGATATGTTATAACAGACTAATTTTTAAACAATTTGTCCAAGTCTCAGGTCTTTTTGGCCCACAGTTTCCGAGTTATTTGCCGAAACGTTTCACGTATCTTTGTAGAGCTTTGTATGGAGACGCCATATTAGTGCACAGTTTTGGTGCACCAATATGGCCGCCGAAAATCAACAAAAACATCTGGAGTTCACTTTTTTCTATAAAAGCTCCTTCTTTTCACTCTAATACTTGAAATGGTTATACTGCTGAAAATCAAGAGGAGAGACTTTTTTTCAACGAGACAGCATTCCTATTTTGGTGTCACGCACTCTGAAAACTCGGAAGTTCAAATTGCTGTATTTTCGAAATGAAACACGCTACGGGACTGAAAACTTGTACAAAGATTAACTTTTTGTTTATCTTCAACCTAGTGTAAATAAAAATTCGTAAAACCTCGCTATTTTGACTTTACAATTTGATGACGTCACTGTGAAAGCCATCTATATGCTTGTGTTAGCTAGCATCCCGCAGTTCTAATCTCACTACACGTTTTTGAAAGTAATTTCCTAATATATACTCATGTATATATATACATGACTTGGCTGATAATTAATGCATGCTTTCTGTTTGATACATATTAGAGAGGATAATGATTTTTTTAATAAAAGCTTTGTTAAAAAGACTTTTTTAAAAAATGTTACCCAATCATGGGAGTGAGATACATTGATTTTTCGGTGGTATCGTTATAGAAGTGGAGAAACACGATCCTCATCGATGCTCTCATGTCAAGACGGAGTGATGCGCTGATGCGCTTGCACTTGTTTCGCATTCACGAAGTTACTAGAATAGTACATGCACTTTTTAACAGAACGCTTACGTTCGAATATATAACAATTCAGTATATACGAAAACAGTGGATAGAGTCTTTCGCGCTCTCTGATTGGCTACTCAGTCAGTGAATATCCAATGCTATTTACTTCCAGTTCCTCCGAGCGAGCAACGCCAAACTCGCGTAAGTTACGAGCAAAATGGCTTCCCGGTTTGCTGCCATAACAAACAAAGAAATTTCACATATAAGATCATAGGTGACGAATTACTCCTTAATTTTGGCGCGAAATTTCAGCGTTAATTTGTAATTTCACATGTGAAATTACAAAATTGCCGTGGCAACCTTCCGTACGTCTCAGTGTCAAGATGGCGACGAAGTTTTAAAATGCCGTGAATGAAGATGTCAGGGCACAAAAAGACGCTTTAGAAAACCTGAACACACAAGAAAACATCAAGAAGGATTCTAACAGGTATTTTTCCAAAAAAGACTGACAAATTCTGAACTTTATAAGCCAAATTTAAGCTCTTAACGTTCGAGAGAGTGGAGTTATCGATGGATACGATCCAGGATAAACATGTCCAAAATCCAAGATTGCTAACGTAATTCGTCACCTATGATATTATATCATAAATAATATTAATTAATATTATTAATAGGTAATAGGTAATCAAATGGTATACTCGTGAAATTAGGGAATAATTTCACTCGTCACCATTTGATTACACATACTAATCAAGCAAGCTGTTCCTTAAATACACGAAGAAGGTGACGAAGCTCGGTCTTGCGTTACTTTATTTAGTTAACTTGCGCATAAATAAGCTAAAACTAAATTTAATAATCTTTTTTACAGAATGATTTTAATTACAAAAAGAAATCACAACTCCGTTTGAAGAAATTTCCCTGCAAGAGCTAAACAAATGCCTTCAAAAGTTTTTGTGTCAGCAAGAAAAATCGACGGCCGCGGCTGTTCGGCCATCGCACGCCAAAATTCTAATAGTTGGCAACAGTAAATGAGTTAAAAATCATCATTTTTGTGCTTAATTATCTCACTGTTTTACTATATACTAAAACAATTTATTATTCACCTCAGTGTCGGTGGCTAGTGGTGAATATTTACCTCGCCGCGAATATCCACCACTACTAGCCACCTCCACTTTGGTGAATAATTGTTATTAAATTATTCACTGAAGAGGAGGTGGCTAGTGGTGGATAATGGACGCTGGGGTGAATAAAACAATGAGATAATTGAGCACAAAAATGATGGATTTTCACTAACTTACTGCCGTCGCGTTTTCTTTCGAGGGGGGGCCTCTTTTGGCCTGAATAGGGTCAGGATTTGGAGGACCGGATGGCACACCCCCACCAAGAATTGAAGGCATTTGTTTAGCTATTGAGGGGAAACGAATTCTTTTTGTACTTAAAAACATTCTAAAAAAAATATTAAATTTAGTTTTAAGCTTATTTATGAACATGTCAGCTAAATAAAGTAACGCAACGCTAAATTTGTATTTGTAAACAAAAAACTTTTTCACCGGTTTCATTGATAACTCCAAGTCAAACAGACAAAGCTTTACCTGTTAAAGCTTCCAAACCGAATTTCGACACCTTCTTGGTGTATTTTGAGAACAGCTTGTTTGATCATTCGTGAAATTTCTTTGTTTGTTACAGCGGCAAACCGAGGGAAACCATTTTCCTCGTAACTTACGCGAGCTTAATTTGGTCTTGTTCGCTCCGAGGGGCTGAAGGTAAAACAGTGAATAGCACTGGATATCCTGACTTTAAGGGTTCGTTTCTTTACTAAAATCCAGATCCAGATTTTTAATCCGACAACGGATATTTCGTTTCTTTACTAAAATCCAAAAACGGATTATTGATCCAAATGATCCACGGAAGTGGACTCTTTGGATCATATCCAAAACCGGATAGTTTGGATACATGATCCGAAACGTTTCTTTACTACGTATCCGAAAAGAGTGAATTCTGCCTGCAATATCCTTGAGCTAACCGTCCAGAATTCAATTAAAGATCAGCAAATTGGCAACATTATCAACAGCCGTGTTATTCTTCTGAAGGATACCGTCGACGTTGTGGGTCGTTTTTATGGAAAATGAATGAAAAATAATCCCTTTTTTGGATATGTCGTTTCTTTTCTTGACGAAAAATCCTAATGATCCGGATTTTTGATCAGATCTTGGTTTTAGTAAAGAAATGCACCCTAGGTAGCCAATCAGAGCACGCGAAAAACACTATCCACTGTTTTAGTATATACTTAAAGGATTTATCACATTCCTTAATTGCCACAGTGGGGGCAGCAAGCTTTAAGTTTCTGTTTCATGAATAGGTATCGGCCTCACCGCTCAATTACATTTGAAATAACTCCGGTCAGACATCTTTGCAGGTCCAGGTCCAGGTCGGACTCAGGGCATGGCCATCGAGAAGATGGAGATGTTATTTCATTGTATTTAAAAGGCTGGCCATTCATTAAAATACGTTTAATCGAAAGCAGAAGACTAGAAAGTGTTGAAAAATATAAGTAGTTCAAGTAAGTTATAAATAAATAGACATAAGTTAACTTCAAAATCTGTATGATCAGGATTATCTAAGCAGAACTCTATTAGCAGTGAGGAGGGGAGGGCGAGAGGGATCGAACCACCCCAGCCTATGGGTCCGTTACGTCTAGCTCAAACGGCATTTTTTACTCATTATCTAGGCTTTTGTTTATACAATGAAAGCCGGTATAAAAAAGGAATAAAGCTCACCTAAAAAATCGTTTAAGCTTGATTTGAACCAGATAGGAGAAATCTTCATATGCTTTTTGTCCACTACCTTGAAAATACCAACTGCCATTAAATTTTTGGCATCAGCATCATATCGTAAAATAACTGTGCCATGTGGTATTTCTTTCGGTGAAACACTGGCAGACGTAGCTGTCTTGCTGTCAGCTTCCAAGACATATACACACTCCTCCCCATTCTCACCAGTTGATTTGACTACATTATAACGCTGGTTTTCAACAAAACAGAAGAGTGAAGAAGATTGATGAGGAGAACCAATAGACAATGGTGATTCACTCAAAATACTGCATTTCTTCAGTTCTTTGCAAGAGGAGTTGATAAAAATCAACACCAGTCCAGAGGCATTCCTCACTACCTTTGTGACATTCCGCAAATCAAACTGCTTGTTCTTGTGTCTGAATGTTACTTTATATTCGCCTTTTTCAAAAATCTTATTTTCGATTGAATTGACTACTTCATTAATTGTTATGATACAGTGTTTGCTTAACTCATGATCATCAACCTTCTGGTCATAAACCAAGACTCCACATTCAGCGTGGCCTTGACTCTGACCATGTGCTATTTTGCAAACAGCTAGTCTTGCTTTTTTCTCTGCTGCGTCTGCGCCAGACAGGCCAGCCTTGTCTGCCACTTCTTTAAGTGATGGTGCATACTGATTCATCTTCGCCAGTTAATTGGTGTGATATTTCTTGTCTTGACACCCAGGGATTACCTATATTTACAAGGAATAAGAATAATATTAAATTCAGATGCACTGTTATGCACACAAAACTCAAAGTAAATATAAAGCTCATGACAGAATGATATAGAAGACATAAATTAAAGTGGCTCAATGCGGTTTTTCAGGATCAATACCGCCCAAATTTGAGCATAAACTACGACGCCATTAACAAAGATTTGGAAAAATTACCAGCACAGCTGTATTAGATGAAGATGACAATATTTGTTTTGATCTAGGTTACAACGAAATCGGAGTTGCCATAGCAATGAAATAATACCATTGCCCGGGAACTCTTCTTCCAAAATCGTTCACAGGAGTTTTTCCCTCCAATAACCGCCTTGATATTCGTTTAGTTTAAACAAAATCTATAACTGCGTTCTCGAGATATATTGGGATGAAGTTCTTATGGTTAGAAATACGGTAAAAACTGAACAATCTTGTTGTTTAGAAATGCAATTTCACCTCAATAGTTCAATCTTTTAAAAACAGATGTGAAAGATCATGGAGATAGCTTCAGCCGATTGCTAAAAAGAAGGATTTGATTAGTGTGTATATCGAGGTGCTCTTGTTACTGGTTTTGTAAACATTTTGGTCACTTAATTAAACAAATACGTTTTTTTTTCAGTTTTGAGATTCTCGAGATTAACCGTCGTTTTGTATGACCCTTGAGTTTCAAGATTATTGACATCCTGTGCGGCAGTAATGTAAGGGCTACAATTCACTAATTTTTTGTCGGAAACTTTGCGTTTACAAGTGAGAGCCTCTCGTTATTTGGGGGTATTGTCTCCAAGTTTCATATTTTCATGGACAACAATACCCTTATAGAAATGCAATGCTAAAATTACTGCATATTTCAAATACATTGTTAATTACTGCTGTTCACGTTACAATGAACTTCACATGCTGTCCGATACGTGCTCGTCAGGTGCCTTAAAGGAAGAAATGATTAGAAACAGACTTGTATACGTTAGGTCACACAACGGACTCCGCCAGTTGAAAGAAGTATCCAACTATGGGACAGAAGCAGTGCAGCAACCAAGCTTCTACAAAAAGGGGTGGAAGCGAGAGAGTTAGGAAATTGCAAATATGGTTAGACGTGAAAAAAGTGTTTGAAAAAAGACTACTTCAGTTCTGTCTGCCTACAAAGCATTCCGCAACCAAGAAGAACAGAGTTCTAGAGAGATGGCGTCATAAAAATTAAATTTGTGAAATTAGGGGATTTTTCAAGATATTCTGAAAGAATAACGTTCAAGACGCCAACTCGCCAAAAATTAGCATTTCGGGGAAAATTGTCTCTGAGATATTAGCCCAATTATGCTCTGATGACTCCATACACACCCTTCTAGATTTGACTTGGGTCTAGACTGTTCACGGGTCTAGACTTTGCATTACGGTCATCTTAGATGAGTGTCAAATCTACTTAAGGGACGGGGGATGGTTTGGGAGGAGGCGGAAAAAATCCCAACCCTCTAAGTAGATTTGACACTCATCTAAGATGGTCGCCCGTAATGCAAAGTCTTCAATCTTGACCGTCTTCGGAGGGAGAGAAGCGACGACCGGAAATACGTCTGCTTTTCACAGGCTATCCACAGTAAGTGTTCACCAAGCTTATTTGAAGGATAGATTCCTTGACGAAGAGTCAAGCAAGCCCACAATATTTCAGATCCCTTGGGGAAAGTTCCGATTGGCTCCGCATGCCATATGGTATTTACCCAACATCAGAGTATTTCCAACAACAGTTTGACCAATGTCTTGCAAGACTGAAGGGTATCTAAATGACAACAGATGACTTACTCATCATTGGCTAAGCGAGATACTGGAGAAAAGGATAACCTTTAACACGATCAGAACCTAAATAGTCTCTTGATCGTTGCATAACAAGAAATATCAAGCTGAACAGGGAGAAATTCCAGTTCAAAAGCAACGAAGTGTCATTCATCAACCATGTAATGACGAAGAATGATCTAAGGGTGGATCCTAAGAAAGTCGAAGCAGCAGATGTACCAACTGTGCAGAGATTCTTTGGGCTAGTGAAGTACCTGTCTAAGTTCCTACAAGACCTATCAGAAATGTGCGAATGTTATGCCACATGACACACAATAATGCTGAGTGGACCTGGACTCATGAACAGGAAGTCAGGTACTTTACCGAGATTTACTTGACTGAAGGCCAAGGAGATGCATCCAAAGATCGGCTTGGCCTCATCCTGAAGCAGCTAGACCAACCCGTGACATTCGCAAACAGAGAACTTACGCTAGCAGAGCAGAAGTACTAACAGATAAAAAAAGGACCTGATGGCTATACTCTTCGGCATGGAGCACAACCACTACTGTGTATGGTCAAAAAGTCATCTTGTGGACAGATCGTAAGCCAATAGCCTCTATTTCAAAAAAGTCCCTAGCATCAGCTACCAAGAGACTACAGCGCCTACCGCAACTGCTTCGGCAGTACAAAGACAAAACCGGCAAGAAAATGTTAGTACCTGATACCACGTAAAAAGCTTACTTGAAAGCTAGACCAACCGGTGACATTCGCAAACAGAGAACTTACGCTAGCAGAGCAGAAGTACTAACAGATAAAAAAAGGACCTGATGGCTATACTCTTCGGCATGGAGCACAACCACTACTGTGTATGGTCAAAAAGTCATCTTGTGGACAGATCATAAGCCAATAGCCTCTATTTCAAAAAAGTCCCTAGCATCAGCTACCAAGAGACTACAGCGCCTACCGCAACTGCTTCGGCAGTACAAAGACAAAACCGGCAAGAAGATGTTACTACCTGATACCACGTAAAAAGATTACTTGAAAAACTGCCAGCATTCAGCCACCCTTACAGAAGTGGTAGTGGACTATATTCATCCCATCCACTTCCTTCCTGCTCCAGATCACCAGCTTAGGGAACTCCAGAGAGTGATAACTTGTGACTTAATCCTAATATAGGGACCTCCATAAGACGCAATCTGGGATGGCTCCCCAGCAGCTATTCACCAGTATTTTGACACCCGAAATGAGCTTTAAGCACATAATGGCATCGTATTCAAAGGCCTCCAAGCATCATACAACAGACCTTGAGACAGAAGATAAAGCTATATGACTCCAATATTGGGGTGCAAGGCTTCTTACGCAGAGCACAAGAAACAGTGCACTGGCCAGGCACGAACAAAGAAACCACTGATTACATCCAGAAAGGCTGGCACACCTCTGACAAGGCCTTGGGAGAAATTAAATTTACAATTAAAGTTATATCTTAACTTTAAGTCATATCAGGTAAAGCATGTTACTGATTTGCACGAAAAATAATACTTCACGAATCCTTCAAATTAAGTATTTCAAATACTGCTCGAGACCAGTAGCACTGAACTTTCTTTATTAGTAATCACATATTAAAAAAAAAGTTTATTTCCGGCTGATTAGTTCCATTAGGGAGTTTTAGCAATGTTGACAATGATGAAGCCTGAGCACCCCTAATGATACATGTTGTGCAAGCTGGTGCACCTATCATCGGTAATCCATAGACCGTATGCTGCATCGTACGCCTCAAAACCACTATCCATCCTGTGGCTCTCCAAAGGAATTATGTGATAAGTTCGCTGACTTTTTCTGTGACAAAATTGTGACAATCAGGCATCAACTAGATACGTTATCTGTTACTGATACTCCTGCTTTTCCATTGATTGATGACGCCATAATTACATGTGAATTAAGCGAATTTTCTCCCACCTCAGAGGATGAACTTTCTGGTCTCGTGAAAAAAATCGCCGCCAAATCGTGTTCTCTTAATCCTGTACCTGCTTTTCTTTTACGTTATTGTATCGATGATTTACTACCTATTATTAAAAGAGTCGTAAACCTTTCATTCAATTCAGCTTCAATGCCAAGTTCCATGAAGAATGCAGTGTTGTCTCCTCTGCTGAAGAAACCATCCCTAGACTTTGAAATCTTTTCTAACTTTCGACCTGTATCTAACCTGAAGTTTTTGTCCAAAGTTATTGAAAAAGTTGCAGCCATGCGCCTGACGAATTATTTGTGTGATAATGATCTGAATGAAAGTCTCCAAACTGCTTATAAGAAACACCACGGTTGTGAGACAACGCTTCTACGTGTTCAAAATGATATACTGAAATCAATCGATGATAAACAATGCGTCGTTCTCTTGCTGCTAGACCTATCAGCAGCCTTCGACACCGTCGATCATAAGATCTTGTTACACAGACTGCGATCCAGGTTTGGTATAAAAGGAAAAGCGCTTTCGTGGCTTCAGTCTTATCTTACGGATCGTTCCCAGTCAGTTCAGATTGACGGAATTACCTCTTTAGTTCGTCCGCTCAGATTTGGTGTACCCCAGGGGTCCGAGTTGGGTCCACTGCTGTATCTGTTGTACACGGCCCCACTAGGTGACCTAATACGATGGCATGACATGGACTTCCATCTATACGCTGGTGATACTCAACTGTACACCACCTCCAGTTGCGATGATATGGATGATCTTACCATTACAATTTCCCGGATTGAAAGCTGTCTTGTCGATATCACCAACTGGATGACTACTAACAAATTGAAACTAAATACTGACAAAACGGAACTTCTCATTCTCTGTTCTAGGTTCAGACTGCCCCCACGGCTACCTTCTATTAAAATAGGAACTGATATCATCAAGCCTACAAA